CCATCCACCAACTTGTAGTATATGCTATGGAGGTGGGGAGAGGGCAGAAATAATGTAGCTGAAGTTGAGATACTTAAATATACTTACTGTTGTGTCTTCACTGTGCTGTGTCAATGGCAGAGCGTCTCCCAAGTTTCCTTACATTTCTCAGGAAGGTGATGTACTCAATTCAATGGGAGAATGTTCTTTATTGTGTATTCACCAGACCTGGTATTTTGATACTCGCTGCATCAATTGCAGGAGTGCTGATCTACACTTGCTGATGGACGTACCCAAGTCTGTTTTACTGCACCTGCCGGCATGTCTCTTTCCAGATTTCTGTCTCTAGAGGTAGAGGCTCTTCTGAATTGTCTTCTGGCTTCTGCCTTTGCAAATGGGCTTATTTCCCCCCTATTTTCTCTTTCCACGTAGGCATTGGTCTTCACAGGAGCATGTAGGGCTGGGCACTTGTCTAACAAAGGGATAGATTCCCAGCTTGCTTATTTGTACTGACAGTGATTGAGCCAGTCCCAACTGCATCTCCCAAGTTCCACCTCCCTTGCTCTGTTCTGTGTTGGCAGCCCATGCCCCCACACTACAGCTTGTTGTGCAAAGTCTGCAGGGTTGCTTTTTTTAGTACCTGCCTGGACTTTGGGCAGATTTTGAGTCATAGCTCTATTTTTTTTTTCCTAACAATTGTTCCTGCAGCATAGAGGCTAACACAGGACAGATCAGTCTGATGGAGAAGAATCACAGGATATGTGGGGACCTCTCCAAAGGACCACCATGGCAGGCTCCTACTGTTCTCATGAGGTGCCCTTGTTATAGTCCCCTTTTGCTGCTTTGCTTTTCCTGGTGTTCATGCTTCAGTTTGTCTGAGAGCAGACACGACACGGCTCTCCTCCAGCAAATGAGTATTTGCAGGTTTCTCCCCCTTTCAGTGTCTTAAATCCAAATGCCTTCCAGGCAGCCTTGTCTCATCCTGCAGTCCCGTTGACTATCTGCACACAAGGTAAGTTATGCCGAGGCCCTAGTCGTGAGTGCCACCCTTCTTCTCAGATAACTCACCTTCTATCCTTATTGGTTTATTCTTTGTGGAAAGAATGAGATTCATCATCCCATGCTCTACGTCAGAGTATTCTAGTTTAAGGCCGGAAGAGCCTAGTGGATCATTTAGTCTGACTTCCTGTGCATCAGAGGCCACAGGTAGTATCACGTAGCACCCCTGCACTAAGCACAACCACCAAAATCAGACCAAAGTATTACAGCCCACTGGAGACTAGATTACTGTGTGCCACAGCAGAGAATAGAGACTCCAGACTTGGAAAAGGTGGGAAAATCCAGTGGTTTTCCAGTCGTAATGGAACAGTAGATTTCCATTCAGACTAGAGAGAACTACCAGAAAGGAAACTAGCTCTTACATTTATTTAATTTTTCCATTTCCAAAACGTGATTATTGATGGGTCCCAGGTTATTAAAATCCTTCTTAAGCTTTTCATCTGGCCCTAGTTAATCTGTCTGTAGCAGCTCTGCTGTAGGATCACATCTGTGGATGAATTTGTGGATTTGCCCTACATATCATTCGTTTGGTACTGTGGCTGCTTTTTAATAAAATTGTAGCTTTAGCCTCTTGATTTCCTGAATGATTCACTAATCCAGTTCAGAAAACGTTAATCTAGTGTCCTAAATTAATGATTATATTGTCTGACTTCTTTATTAAAACTTTCTGATTCAGGTATCTATATTAGAAAATGAAGCAAAAGTATTAAATATTATTATCTAAATACAGTAAAACTCCAATGGTCCGGCATCTGACGGTCCGGCACTCCTGATGGTCCGGCACCATCAGGAACCTGAAAGTGCTCTGGGCAGCCAGACCATTGGAGCTGCTCTGCCCCCGGCTTCCCTGATTCAGCTGCTGCTAAAACTGACCAGCAGCTGAATCGGGAAGCCGGGGGCAGAGGAGCTGGGGGGCTGCTGGGG